TTTTTCTTTTTGCTTATGTGGTGCTGAGGAATCGAACCCAGGGCCTCATGCATGCAAGGCAAGCGCTCTACCACTGAGCCACCTTCCTAGCCCCGGTTTTTCTAAAGTCTTGAGGATTGTGGAAGTATAGTGTTAATTACTTTAATGCTTCTATGTTCACCAGATGTAATAAATTTGGAGAATATTTTGCTAAAATTTTTGAATTTGTGGGGCTGGGAAGGTGGCTCAGTGGTAGAGTGCTTACCTTGCATGCATGAGGCCCTGGGTTCGATTCCTCAGCACCACATAAGCAGAAAAAGCTGGAAGTTGTGCTGTGGCTCAAGTGGTAGAGCAATAGCCTTGAGCTGAAGAGCTGAGGGACAGTGCCCAGGCCCAGAGTTCAGGCACCATGACTGGCAAAAAAAAAAAAAAAAATGGAATTTGTACAACTTCCAGTATAAAATAAATTGGCAAAAATTTCTTTTCCCTAAAATTTTTTTGTATGCACTTTAAGCCACCTAATACTTTGTACTTCATTTTCTGTGAAAATTACAGAAATACAGTATGCATGAGTACATGGTCTGAACACCTCTGATAAGAAAAACCATACATGTTTAGGATGCATAGAATTCAGCACTGCACTGTAGATGCTTGATAGAGCTTTCTCCAACTTCTGCTAGTGACATTGCTTTTCTTTTCAGTGTTGGTATTGGATTTTGAACCACAGACCTTGTGCTTGCTAAACAAGCCACTGGAGCCACATCTCTAATCCACTATTTGCTTTGAGGGAGGCAGATTTTCCCAAAATTAAGGGCAGAGAGACAGCAGGTCACACAGTGATTTAAACACAGTTGGTGATAATGCAGGGCAAACACTGTCTCCATATAAATGGAGCTGTGAAATGAATGACTAAGAATTTGTTTTTCATTTTTAAATTTCTTTTGATTTTTTTAAAATTTGTTTTTTTTTACTACACTTAGTCAAAACTATGTGTAATAAACTCACAAATAAGATGAGATTACTGTATCATACAATATTTTCTTTTGTTAGAATCATATCTGTTTTCAGTTTTTCTTAAATTCCAAAATACATCCATTTCTCTTCTAATAAGAACAAATAAGAAAATATCTTCATTCAACATTAACCATCCTGGCTTCTTTAATATTTAGGCAAATATACTTAAAGACTCTTGTTATTTATTGTCGCATCAAGTTTAGTCTTCATTAACATAGCAAACTTTGAACTGAAGAACTATTTCGTAGTAGTTTTGGATGAAAACATGTAAGGAAAGTGACATGTTGATGTTAATCCCCTCCCTCTTTTTTCCTTTTCTTTTTACCCCCTCAGCAAGTTGAAGTAGATTGCCAACAGTGCATGCTGGAAATCCTGGATACAGCAGGAACAGTAAGTTATTGTGTCTCATTTTTTTTATATATTTTTACTTTTAAGCAGGTTTTATCTGAATAATTCTATGTAGAAGCACTTATCCTCATTTAAAAAAAAAAATGCTGGAAGTGGCGCCGTGGCTCAAAGCGGTAGAGTGCTCGCCTTGAGCTGAAGAACTGAGGGACAGCGCCCAAGCCCAGAGTTCAAGCCCCACGACTGGAAAAAAAAATAATAAATAAATAAATTTTTAAAATAAAAAAAAATTCCTTTCGTGAAGGACTTCTTAAATTTTCCTAGGTATATTTAAATTTTCTTAATAAGTACTTAATGCCCATGTATCATGATTCAATTATATACTCATTTTACCTTCAGAATCTATTTTGACTTTCTTCTCCTTGTATTAAATAATGTGCCTAAAACAAAAGTTATTTTAAAATTCAGAATTTTAATTAAGACAAGTATTTCTCTCTCTGGGCCTATTCTCTGAGTAGTTAACTGATTCAGTGAATCCAGCCTCTCCTATAGCTTTTCAGACACTATACATGTTTCCTCTCAGGGTCAAGCATTTTCTATTCCCTTTTGCCTGCAATACTTTTCCTCCACATACCCACAGAGCTTACTTCCTCACCTTCCTAACTACCTTCCTGTGAGCCTTCCTCTTTAAAATAATAATTTCTGTTCTTGCCCTCAAAAGAAACTTGCTGTCCTCTTTCCCTTTAGTTTTCTCTGTAATATTTATTACCATCTTTATTTATTTTTGTGTTTCTTCTCTATTCATCCAGATACTTTAGCAGCTTACTTTTACCAATGTATAACTAGTGCTGCAACCATGTCTGGTTAGTAGAGAGCACTATGAATAATCTTCAAGTTTAATCTGGCAAAATGTCCTTAGAAAAGAGGTTGTGATTCTCAGCAAGAGGTAATACCCACCATAGCATTTCCGTAAGAGGGCTGGCTGTTCTTAGATTAGATTTTTAAAACTGATTGGCTATATGTATTTACTCTGATAATAAGTAACAGAAACCATGATCTCAGGAGAATGTGGTAAGAGTAGTAGAGCTAGAATTTCTAACAGCTTATAAATGAAAAACCTTATATGTTTTAACTATACAGTTACATTATCATTATCAAATAAGAGTTGAGTTTAAAACCAAAATAAAAGTAATTTTTACAAAGTATGACTATGGGGGCTGGGAAGGTGGCTCAGTGGTAGAGTGCTTGCCTTGTATGCATGAGGCTCTGGGTTCGATTCCTTAGTACCACATAAGCAAAAAGAAGAAAGCCTGAAGTGGCGCTGTGGCTCAAGTGGTAGAGCGCTAGCCTTGAGCTGAAGAGCTGAGGGACAGTGCCCAGGCCCAGAGTTCAGGTCCCACGACCGGACCCAAAGTATGACTATGTAGCACAGAGACTAAATGTCAATGATTAGTGAACTATTAGGAGATGATAGTTGTTTTTCTCATATCTTTTCCAAAGGTTTGAAATGGAGGGATAAAAATACATGAACAAGCTCTTATAAAAAGTGTTAGTATTAGGACTGAGGCTGTAGCTCTGTTGTAAAAATCTTTCCCTAGCATGCACAAGGGGTAAGTTTGACCCTTAGCATGTAATAATAATAATAGTAATGATAATAATAATAATAGTTGTAGTCAGGATGATTGAATTTTCCAGGAGAGATATTTGAGACTGTCTGTGCTGGATGATTAGGTTATAATTCAAAATGTTTCCGTTTGGGCAGCAGTTACGTTATAAATCATCCAAAAAATTAATTAGGATCTGTATATAAAAAGGAAATTACATTGAGATGTACATACAAAAGAAAATTGAGATACTTCGGTATTCCTTCTAATTCTACAATTTGTTATCATTGTTTCTAATCACGCAAATGTAAACATGAACATTCACTTTATTAGTGTTTTACATTTTCTGACATGATTGTTTTAAAAAAAGCTATAGAGAACCTCACTTGTGATTATTCTGTTTAAAATTATTCCAGTATACAGTCAAAATGTATATATTTATAATTACTTCTTTTTTATTATAGGAGCAATTTACAGCAATGAGAGATTTGTATATGAAGAATGGCCAAGGGTTTGCACTAGTATATTCTATTACAGCTCAGTCCACATTTAATGACTTACAGGACTTGAGGGAACAGATTTTACGAGTTAAAGACACAGAAGATGTAAGTATTTTTCCCTCTAAAGCATAATGCCGTCTCTCTGTGGCCCAATTTTTTTTTTAAAAAGCTGCTTTTTTATCAGTAGAGGATATGAAAGATACCTCCTACACTCCCAAAAGAACTTCTGTGACACAATGTTTTTTAACTTTCAAAACTAACCTACAGATTATATGCCAAGATGTTTAGAAAATGAAGACACGTGGTACTCATTATGGCAGAGAAAGAACAGGAGTCCTTCAAAGAAGAAGTAGAACTCTAGTTAAGCTTTGTCAAATTGGAAAAAATATTCAAATAATTCAGGACCCATGATGTTATGACCTTATTTTTAAAATTATACTGGTATAGCATTTATTTACATGCAGTTTTTCCTTTTAATTGTGTTAAAGATTTTAACTAACTGGATTAATTTTTTTTTAATTTTGCTTTAGAAGTCTTGCCATTTTTTGTTGTTGTTCTAGTATTGGGGCTTACACTTAGGGCCGGGGAGCTGTTTTTTATTCAAGACAAGAGCTCTATCACTTGGCCATACCTTCACTCCAGCTTTGTGCTTCTTAATTAGAGATGAGTGTCTCCTGGACTGGGTTGGCTTCTAATTGAAGTCCTCAGATCTCAGCCTCTTAAGTAGCTAGGATTACAGGCATGAGCCACTGACATTTGGATTGATTGCTCTTTTTAAGACAGGATATTGCTGTGTAGCCCAGGCTGGCATCATCCCCTCGATAGTCTTGCCTCTATCTCCTAAGTGATGGGATTACAGATGAGTGACCACCCTAGAGATCTTAATTGATAATTGAATTTAGCTGATGGGGGGAGTGTATCTTTTCCTCATCTTTGTAGAAAAACAATGTATATTTTATACTACATCTGAGGCTTTTCAGTTGTATAAATTAGGATAGACATTTTCAATTTCACTTTTCTGTTTTGGTATATTCTCTAATTATTAAGGGGTGCATGAGCATCTGTTCAGGATTTTAATCTTTATAGTATTGTATGTAGGAAGAATTTGTACCATATGACTCAAGACTACCCATAACGTAATGAATAGTTTTCTTCTTTCTCATGACTAATTTTTCTGAGAGAATTCTGTTTATATAGGCAGTTAGACTACTGAGCCCTGATAATGTTAAACCCTTTTATCTCATGTAATAAAGGAAAAAAAGTTAGGCTGGTGCTAGGCTGGCTCCAGTTTATAATCCTAATTACTCAGGAAGCTGAAATCTGAGGATTAGAGTTCAAATCCAGCCTATGCAGATAAGTACATGAGACTTTTATCTCCAATTAACCACCAAAAGCCAGAAATGGAGTCGTGAAAAAAAAAGCAAAAAAGTTCCTTGATAAGCACTAAACAAGCAAACAAATAAATAAATGGAAAACATTGTTGTAAAATGTTTACTATCTCTTAAATTCTTTTTTTTAATAGTGTCCATCATCTCCCAAACAAAGGACTTTGTTCTTTGAACACATGTTAACTGATAAAGTTAATACAGTTTCTTAACTACCTGTTTTACAGAAGTCAGGAGTATATAGTCAAGCTACAGCCAAGCACTTGTGATACGGAGAAAAAGGAAAGAACATAGCTGTTTTGTGGCTTCATTTTTATTTTTAATCTTCCTTTACTATTTCACCTTCACTATTTCACTTTAAAATTATTTAGGTGAAATAGTAAAGGAAGATTAAAAGATTCTCCTGTACACGTAGAGCTAGTATACTATGTTGGTCTTGTCATCCTTTGAGGTGTTTATTACACTGTGAGATAAACCACTTAGTCCCAGTGAGTACATTCTTTTTTTTTTTTTTTTTTGGTTGGTCATGGGCCTTGAACTCGGGGTCTGGGCACTGTCCCTGCGCTCTTCAGCTAAAGGCAAGTGCTCTACCTCAAGCCACAGTGCCACTTCTGGTTTTCTAGTGGTTTATTAGAGATCAGAGTCTCACAGACTTTTCTGCCTGGGCTGACTTTGAATCGTGATCCTAGATCTCAGCCTCCTGAGTAGCTAGGGTCACAGGCGTGAGCCACCGGCGCCCGGTAAGTACATTTTTTTTTTTATGTTGTAGGAGATTCCTTTTCTTTCAAATCTTTCTACTTGGAATCTACTGGGTATTTGTAGTAGTCTGTCTGTGAAATTTAGGATTATGCTCTTAAAACAATTTGACATATGAATCTGGTAGGGTCTCTTTCATAATGGTTTTTTTTTCATCTTCTCTCTAACCCTACACCCAGACAGTTTTTTAAATGTTGGTAAAGTTTATAGTGTGACTAATTTCAGTTGGTAGTAGTAATTCTTTATTGAGGCTAAGTAATTGAGTATGTTATCGTTCATTTTACATTTTTTGTTATTGTTGTTTTTTTCCTTCCCACAGGTCCCAATGATTTTGGTTGGCAATAAATGTGATCTGGAAGATGAGCGAGTAGTTGGCAAAGAACAGGGCCAGAATTTAGCAAGACAGTGGTGTAACTGTGCCTTTTTAGAATCTTCTGCAAAGTCAAAGATCAATGTTAATGAGGTAACCTACAACTGCAGGGGGCACAATTTGGATTTTCTTGGAAATAACATCCAGAATTTTTAAGAAAACATTTGTAACTGTTATTCAATTGTTTATTAATAGATTGTAAAATCAAGTAGGAAAATACAAAAATTAGTCACTTTATAGTAAACCTTTGTTGTCTAAAACTTGAACATCACAGAATTTGGTGTTCTGAGTTATGCCTCACTTTTGCTGTTGCATGCTGAAAAGTTTAGTTAAAACTCAGTCCTCTAGGTTTGAAAAGCCAGGTACACAAGGTTTTGTTTTTTTTTTTTTTTGCTTTAAATCAAGCACTCTGTCTTGAGAACCTGACTGGAGAGCTTATGTAAGCTGCATATCTGTATGTGAAGAGCCAATAGTTTGTTGATCCCTAAAAAATTAGTACAATTCCTAATTGCCCCAACCAATCAGTCAAGAACCTGAGATTCCTTGGCTTTTACTAACTTTACCAGAAGTCTACAAGAAACAACAATAATAACAACAGAGTAAGCCTTTTTTCCTTTCCCTTGTCTGTGTGCTTGCCATTGGTATTATCACAAGTACTCAGAATTTAGGCCTCCTAAAACACAGATTTAGAGTAAGTGCATTAGGTATTCAGAGCCTGTGATTTTGCTTGGGGTTTCTCTCTGACCTCTGGTTCTATAAGTTACCTTTTCTTGGCTGATATGTGCTTATAAACTATTATCTCTGTCTCCGTCTTAAAATGTCTAAACTACTTTACACATCTGGCAGAAAATAATTCATGGATGCCAAAATTTTTTTAGATGAAATCATTTTAGTAAGTACATTAAAACAAGAAATCCATTAATTACATTTATTTAGCAAATATTTGTTGAGTACCTTCTGTATGTCTGGCACTTTTTTAAGTGCCCTGGTAACATTCATCTGGTCAGGTGTTCCCACTCCTAAGTTTACATCTCATTGGGGGGAACAAGTCCTGCTGAGATCTTCTACAACAATTATTTCTTATTTCATTGTCAAGTAAATGAAAGGAAACATATTCATCTAGCTTCAACTTTTTCTATTGAAGTATTAGTTTCCCAAAGGCTGTTTGGAAAAATGTGACTATGATAAAATTTTGTTAGTAGTCCTTTTTATATTTTATAATTAACTTTGATAAAAAGGATATGTTATAATTGGTGGATGCATTTGACTAATAGAGCAATGGTGCTTAGTCACTTTCTGTACCATGGTTGGCCTTAGGGATCTGACTTCTTACTGTTTCTGTCTTTCCCACTGAGTTCATTTGGTCAGCTGGTTATAACTTGGGACAGAGCCTAGTGGAGAGGAACTGTTCCTTGCCTTTTATCATTATGTTTATGGGAGCCTATGAAGCCTCCTTTGGGTTGCAGTTTCCAATGTAGCAGAATGACTTCTTAACAGCAGTCTTCTTAGACTCTACCTTTGGTAAGAAGGTTTATAACAACATGAAATGGCATTGGCCATTTTAAGAAGTTTAACTTTTTTGGAGCCAGATGCTAGTGGCTCACACTTGTAATCCTAGCTACTCAGAAGACTAAGATCTGAGAATTGCATTTCAGAGCCAGCTGGGACAGACAAACCCAAGAGACGCTTACCTCCAGTTAGCCAGCAAAAAGCCAGACGTGGAGGTTTGGCTTAAGTAGTAGAGCACCAGCCATGAGTAAAAAGCTGCATAGGAACATGATGCCCTGACTTCAAGCCCTGCTATATATATACACACATACACCTTACCTTTTTGAGAAACATGGATTTCATGCTAGAATTTCTTGGGTATAATTTGAGGGTCTTTTGATGTTGTAGTTATTTTAAATCTAATGGCCTAATAATCCATTACAGGATTTCTTTGATAGCTTAAGCTATCTTGTAAATGTTCGTGTGATTTGCAAATGCCCAAAGATAGAGGGAAAATTCTTTTAGTCTTCTCAACTTTGGATTCAACTTTCAGCCTCAAATTAGAAAATAGACAAGGCACATTGCTTGTCCAGAGTCCTCTAATTCTCTGATTGTATTTTTTCTTTAATTCTTATATGTGACTTTTGCTATGTTTTACAAGTAGCATATAGCTGTACCAGAATCACATCCATCCTACTCAATAATTAATTGTTCTTTACTGAGGCTGGAATAATAATTGGAATCAAGTCATCCCAAATTAGGAATGGGAGAGGGATTGAGAAACTCTATTCTGTGTTCCCTTTAGATTTTTCTATAGTTCAGAGAGATGAGGAAGAACCTAGGCTGGGGACTTTCAGCATTTCTAACCAAATATTATAGTTCGAACTTGCCCTCATCACTGAACCATCTGCTGCTGTGAGGTAGGCAATATTTTCCAAAGAAATAATTTAGATTACTACGAAAATCAGTTACGTCCTGTCTAATATGTGCCAGAAACTGGAAAGTGGCATGAAGAAACTGAAATCATAACTATGTATGTGCTTGATGAGTGAACTGTCCTGGTTTATCTTTTTATCATTTTTCATGTTATAGCTCACACATTGAGCCTCCAGAACTAATGAAAGTTCATAGATAGCATATACACATTAAGTTCTTGAAGGCTTCAAAGTTGTGACACAACTTGGACTTGGGAGTTGTTAAAACAGCTGCCATTTTATTAATTCTGTGCTTTCAAATTATTTTTAGAAATGAGATGAGAGAGTTAAGTAGTTTCAAGAAGATAAGAATGAGAGGATTAGGCCTCATGAGTGAGTTATTTAGAGCTTTAGGATAAATTAGTTCTCTTTTTTTTTTCTTTATAACAATTTAGTCTTGAAATCTTTAGGCCACTAAAACTAAAGAAATTATCACCATCTTTAAATGTAATTTGTTTACTGTCTTAAAGAAATGTAAGCCAATAGTGTTTTAGCTATTTTACTTTTTAAATTCACTCAAAAGATCAATAAATAAAATCTGTTTAACTCTTTAACAATATTCACCAGTTATTAATATTTTGCCATATATTTGCAAAAATCACATTACTCCTAAATATATGTATCCTTGAATCAAAGACATCCTCCAAGAAAACCGTAAGTATTAAAATTAGGAAAATTGGGCTAAAGGTGTAGCTCACTGATTGATTCACATTGCCTGGCATATATGAGATCCTGAGTTTTGTTCCCAGCATGGCAGAGTAGTGACAGGAAAAAAATTAGAAAAGTTGACTTGATTCATGTTTAATATATATTTAAAACTTGCTTATATGTCCCTATAGTAATAGTCCTTTTTTTTAAATCCAGCTTTGCAAAGTACTGTTTATTCCACAAGTAGCAGTAAAGGACTTCTATAATAATTGTTCTATTCTACATCATTAGTGAGTGAGTGCATTCATAGCAAAGAATCAAATTCAGTTGATCCTAGTTCATATTTTAACCCTTTGGCATACTTGGCAGTATGAAACTGTACAAGCACATCAGAATTAAAATAACTTGTTTTGGGGGCTGGAGGCCAGTGGCTTACCCCTGTAATCCTGGCTACACAGGAAGCTGAGATCTGAGCATCATGTTTTAAACTAGCATGGGCAGAAAAGTCGAAGATTCTTACCTCCAATTAGCCAGAGATAAAGCCAATAGTGGAGCTGTGGCTCACGTGGTAGAATACCAACCCTGAGCAAAAAAGCTAAGGGTAGTACCCAAGCCCTGGTTTCAAGCCTCAGTACTCGCACAAAAAGAAACATGTTTGTGATATGCATACAGTTGTGTTTTGTCTTTGGTTCTTTGTACTTTTCATCCAAAAGTAAGTCCACAAGGTTTATTAGCATATTACTTGTCTCAATTCACAGTAATTTTACTTAAAGCAAAACTAATATAACCAAAAAGGAGAAAATACCTTTTGCCTTTCTCTGTGTGACACTTGTAAGAAGAACATGCTAATTCTTTTATATTTTCATATATAAACATAGAACCTGAATCTAAACATGAAACAAACTCAAATGAAGGGAAAATCTGTAACTCTGCTAGCATTTATTCCTCAGAAATGACAATGCCCTGAAAGACATAATCTAAGAAACTGTTTCCTATTTTAAAAAGACTAAAATCTTTAAGAAGAAAATGCAGTGTGTTATTCTGGATAGTTGTGTCCCTAGAGGGGAATCTTTTTAGCCCAGTTTTAATAGCATAGTTTACAAAACTGAATTCACATGAGAGATAATACAAGGTAATATATCAGTGGTTAAGTATCTTGATTGGGAGAACTAAACTGAGGTCACATAAGAGAATATTCTTGTTCTTGGAAATACACACTGGACTACTAAGGGACCTGTGATATGTATACCACTCTCACACAGTTCCAAAAGTAAATGTGTATATAGTAAGAGATAAATAGTAAACATGGCAAAATATTACTGATTGGTGGATCTAGGGAGACTATACAAAGTTATTTGGTACTATTATAACTTTGATACTTTTGTAACTTTTCTGTAATTTTAAGTTTTTACTGCCTCTTTTTTGGGGGGAGGGGGAAGTAGGAATGGGGTACTGGGGATTGAACCCAGGACGTTGCATTTGTGGGTCAAACGCTTTGCCACTGAGCTATATCCCAGCCCTCACTACCTCATTTTTCACTACTGATTTCTGTTTTCAATTTACATTGAAAGTCTAAGAGCACGCATATTCCTTCTTTATGAGTTAGTTAACTCCTGCTTTATTTACTCTGTGAGTTAGCAGGGGCTTCTACAAAATCTGACAACAAAACATAAACCTCAAAGCAGACTAATATTTAATAGAACCAAAATTGTTTTGTAAACAAGGTCTCAGATAATTGTTAAGTAAGTATTTTCTTCTTTTTACTTAGATATTTTATGATCTGGTCAGACAGATAAATAGGAAAACACCAGTGGAAAAGAAGAAGCCTAAAAAGAAATCATGTCTGCTGCTCTAGACCTGAAGCCAGCAGCAGCTCTGAGCCAGGTAAGATACCAAAAGCTGAACTGATGCCTTTTTCATCATCTTTTTTTCCTGTTCTTCATTTTATCTATTGTGGCTATATCTATAGCCTGTACAAAAATACACTTTCAGAGATACATTCATCTGTTTTAATTATTTACCTCTTTCTCATGGGATTCTAAGCTCTGTGAGGATGAGGATTATATCTGATTTTCATACTACAGAGTCTTGGCACTTATGACAGAGTATTCAAAAAACAGAGCTAGTGAGTGAAGGAGTAGTTCAGTGTGGTAAAGCACTTAACCTAGCATGTGCAGGGTCCTGAGTTTGGTACCGAGTACTTAAAAAAAAAATAGAAGGTGCTGTCATAAATTAGAGTGCCTGCCTAGATGACTGCCAAACTTATGCTGAATTAAAACAGTAGTTTCTTTGGAAGAAAAAAAGTGCATATTTGATCCATTATCTCAAAGTGAGCACCCTATTTATGAATAGTGCTCACTTCTCCCTAAATGTTCTAATGTCATGAATTAGTTTGCCCCTCTTTGAACTTAATATAAACAAACCCCTGCAATGTACTATTTTATGGCTTCTTTCATTCAAAAGTATGTTTTGAATATTGTATGTGACATGTTCATTTTTATTCTCTGATAACAAATCATTTTGTATCACTATTGAGACTATTAAAAGACATCTATGTTCCTTTTTTTTTTTTTTTTTTTTTTTGAGCCTGGGTGCTGTCCCTCAGCTCTTCAGCTCAAGGCTAGCACTCTACCACTTCAGCCACAGTGGCCACTTCTGGTTTTTTTCTTTTTGCTTATGTGGTGCTGAGGAATTGAACACAGGGCCTCATGCATGCAAGGCAAGCACTCTTATCACTGAGCCAACTTCCCAGCCTCTATGTTCTTTTGGGAAATTAGTATGTATAATTTTGTACATGTTTTATAAATGGCTTTGTATTTAGATACATGTATTTCTGTTGGCTACATGTATAGACCAGCTCACTGGTACAATCACTCTGAAAGACTTTTTAGTAGTGTCCACATACACCAACAGTTTGAGTTCATATCCTCCCCAAAATTTGCACTATCACTCTTCCTTACTTGAATCTCTCTTTTTTAAACTTATATTTGCATATTATTATAGTTTTGGTACCTTGGTATGGGTTAATTACTTCTTAGTAAATATTTCATCTCCAGTTAACTTCAAGTACCATTTAGGATTTATTAAGTGAACCCACTTGAGAGAAATTAGTGATAGCATTTAAACTATCAAGTCAGAAACAAGGCCCTGTTGGAATACTTATTTGCTTGCTTTTAATTATGTATTTGATGAAGTTCCTCTTTATTAATTATAAGTAATAACTTAAAATAGTACTTTTATTGGGTAGATGGATTTACGATGTAGTTTGAGTATATAACTATTACTAAACTTTAATAGAGTTAAAAGAAAAAGTAACCCAATTGAGAACTGACCAATTCATTATTGTCTGTCTTTTGGATCTATTTGGTAAATTGCCTCTTCCAGATCTCCAGATTAATTGATGTATACTTTTTCAGAGATATGGATAAGTAAATATATGTCTTAAAACATTTGAATTATTGTAGCCTCCTTTTTAAGTGAAAGTAAATGAATATGCAGAAAGGAGAAAAGAGTATGAGAATTGTCTAGTAGTTAGGGAAGACAGCTTGTAGCTTTTGATTCAGTAACTATAATTAGTTCCACAAAGGGATTAGTGTTATGATTGCTAGTGTTTATTTAGGGAATAGTACAAATAGAGGGAAAATGAAGACAATTCTTAAGTATTTTATTTACTGTTTGCTGGCTTGACACCATTGCCTTAAGCCCACCTTAGTTTTAACTCCTTATTCTCAGAAAACATCTTTTTAACATGTTTAAAGAAAAAGGTGACATTGCCTAACCGATTATGGTGTTAAAAAACAAAACTCAGCCATAGATGAGTTTTACCTTACAGGAGAAGAATCTTAGGCTAGATCTAGAAATAAGAATTTTATCCCGGTTGCACCAATTTATAGACTCTGATTAATAATTCAGCTATCTAAGGTAACAGAGTTACCTGAGATCTCTGAATGTTTGATAATACCAAGTAATAGATGACTTACTAGTCAGAATGCTTTGCAATACATTTTATTGTGATTGTAGACCTGAAATGCCACGTTGTTTGTATACTTTTAAAATAACTGAGCTAGGTATCATATTACATGTCTGTTTTTCCAGCTACTGGAATGGCTAAAGCAGGAGGAATACTCAAGCCCCAAGAGTTTCAGGCCAGCCTGGCAACTTAGTTAGACACAACTAAAAGCAGATTAGTAAGAGTTATGAATCTTGAGCACTACTTGGCTATCCATAGCCTTTAAGGCAAAATTGTATTAAAACTTGTTAATCTCCTATGTCCCATTTTTAAAACCTCTGAGAGACATTCAACATCACCTTTTCCTTTAACCTAATTTGCTTCTGCTGAGTAATGACTTGCTGATTTTTCTGCCCTTGAATATGAGTTCTATCTGTGTCATGTCTTGTCTTAGCCTGTAGTCCTAATACACACAATCAAAATGATTCAATCAAGAATTCCCCATGAAGTTTATGCAGTAGGTGTCATTTCCTTAGTGGAAAAGAACCTTTAAAAATAAGATGGGCTGGGTGCTGGTGGTTCATGCCTATAATCCTAGTTACTCAGGAGGCTGAGATCTGAGGATTGCAGTTCAAAGCCAGCCCGGGCAGGGATATCTATGAGACTATATCTCCAATTAGCTACCAAAAAATCTGAAAGTAGAGCTGTGGCTCAAGTGGTAGAGTGCTAGCCTTGAGCTGAAGAGCTGAGGGACAGTGCCCAGTCCCAGAGTTCAAGCCGCGTGCCAACAAAAAAATAAGATGGTATGAACAGTGCATATATTCTTTCATATGTGAAGGCTAGATCTAATATACAAACTATGCCTTATAACAGTGCATTTACACACAAACAGATGGACGAGAGGAGGGTGTGCTTGAGGCAGAATCAAAAGTTACAACTCCTCTAAAGACCTAACGTGCTTTTTATCAAAATAAAAACCAAAAGTGAAACCATGTCTTAGGGGGTAGACAAAAGCAGGCACGGCTTGGAGGGAAGAAGAGTGAACAAATATAGTCATTTTATCCAGGGTATAGTATGTAAAAACTGAGGGTAGGGAAGGGGGAAGAACAAAGGGGTGACATTGCCCAAGAAACATAACCTAACCTGACTTGTGCAATTGTAACCTCTTTGTACAACTACACCATCATTATCTTCATCATCATGATATAATATGATAGAAACAGAATACCACTTTCAAACAGTGATATTTGCAAACAGAACTGCTAATGATAGTAAAGCAGATGATAAGCTAAAGCTGATCAGTAATACTATTCCTGCCTGTGAACTCAGTTTCTTATATTTAATCATTTTTAAACATTTAAAGGAAATTTCAAATAACCCTTTTACTGTAAGTGTTTAATTTCATTCCGTATTAATGATCAGTGAATATCAGTGTTTCTATGTTATTGAGTATCTGCTTATTTACTAGCATCAACATCAAGAGATATATTTGTAAGTATAGCTGAATCTATTTAATGTTCTAGATTACAGGAATGAAGAACTGTTGCCTAATTGGAAAGTGCCAGCATTCCAGACTTCAAAAAACTAAATCCGAAGAGGCTTCTCCTGTTTTATATATTATGTGAAGAATTTAGATCTTATATTGGTTTGCACAAGCTCCCTGGAGAAAAAAAAATCACTCTGTGTATAAATCTCTTGGAAAATAAGACAATAGTATTTCTCCTTTGCAATAGCAGTTATAACAGATGTGAAAATAAGTATACTTGACTAATACAATTATACAAAAGAGCATGGATGCATTTCAAATGTTAGATATTGCTACTATAATCAAATGATTTCATATTGACCTTTTTATCATGATTCTTCCCTGTCAAGCACTAAAAAGTTGAACCATTATACTTTGTATCTGTAATGGTATAGATTATAAAATTTCCCCTCAAACTCATTGCAGCAAATAACTTTTTCAAGTCATTGACTTCATTTTATATTTAAAAATTATGAAATATCATCTGTCATATTCTAATTAAAATTGTTTGTGCATAATGCTTTGGAAAAATGGGTCTTTTATAGGAAAAAACTGGGATAACTGATTTCTATGGCTTTCAAAGCTAAAATATATAATATACTAAACCAACTCTAATATTGCTTCTTGTGTTTTATGTCAGATTAAATTACAGCTTTTATGGATGATTAAATTTTAGTACATTTTCATTTGGTTTCTGTGTTTTTGTTATTGTTTATAGAGTTAAAGCATTTATTTTATAATGACCACATTGTTTAAAATTCGACAGCAGCTCCTTTTCTGTCTGGAATCTGCAGAACACTTGGCTTTAAACTACATTAGGTGGTGATCTCTCTCTTAAGAACAGACCTAGCACTTTCTGTTCTAGATATATTTATTCCTACTCTACACTCAAGTACATCAGACAACATGGAATAGTTTTGTATATTCTCTCTGATGTTAAAGATTGTATCTTATTGAATAAAATACCCCACTGTGTATTATTTTTATATGTAAAAAAGATAAGTTTAATACTGTATCAGGGTTTAACTTTTACTATTTTTAAATCTTCCACGGCTTGTAATTTCATTAAGGGAATCCTTTTGCCATGTTAACTTGTTGGGTATGGCTCCACCAATGAAGTATTGTGTGAAAAATTTTTAACTTGCTTTATAACTAGATTGCAGAACTTGAGAGAAGTGAGTGAAAGTTAGAATACATAAAAGGAATGTATTAGTTACTTTTGCTTCAACCGTATATGAAGTAGCATATTAATATAAAAATGCTAAATTAGAATTTTAGTTGGCTATATAGTGGTGCTTTGCTTTTTCCTCCCAGTTATATGCATTTTTACAAGAGATAGAGCATAATTAGGTCATGGACCCTGGGTGATAATCCATTCTCCCTAAAGAGAGGTAGAACAAACAGCTTGTTAACCAGTTCATTACTGGAGAAAGAAACAAGCAGGCTTAGGAAACCCCGTGCCTTGTCCCCGAATATCAAGGAGACCAGTCCTAGAAAGTCTAAATCATTGCTCAGGGATCTAGCTACTGTCTTGTTGCAACTAGGCATGAAGATGTGTTCAGCCTTGCGGAATTTTCCAGGAGTGTGGTCTGCCCATAAGTTACTAAATTAAAATTTAATGTCAGCATTCAAATGTAAGCTCTGAGAAGCTTGAAGAAAATGTTAAAACTATTGTTCAATAAACTGGAAATTGTATTCTTTTGAGTTTCTAATAAACTTAGTTACCTAACATTTCCTTTTTACTGATCCAGTTATGGATGTCTGTGGTTGAGGGGCAAGAAATACAATAAATTGCAGAAGTACTTAAAATAGCAGGGCCAAATTGTTTAGGTCAGAAGGGTTTGTTGTTGTTGGATGTTTTTTAGTGGGATCTGGCTATATTGCCCATGCCGACTTCAAACTTATTAGTCCAATCTTTCTGACCAGCCTCTCAAGTATCTGGGACTACAGGCACATGCCAATGTGCCCATCTAAAAGGAGTACTCTATTTTAAGGTCCTCTGAAATTATACTTCACATCTTTTTTTTTCTGAGGGTTTTTTTTCAAATTTTTTATTGTGATTAAGTGGTCATATAATTTCCCAACTTTCACAGTATTGTGGGATAGTGATGCTCAGTTAAAGTCACAAACACATTCTAACTTTCCTGGAGCAAATTGTCTATCACGGTCTATAACATTTATGAGTTCTATGAGCTTTGCGATACAGTTTTTTCTTCCACATTGGGTGATATGTACATTTCTTTTGTTTTGCATAGCGTCAGCTGTTCCCTCTTTCCCACTTGTTCCCTCCCTCCCATCGCTGCCATTGAGTTGCATAGTTCATTTTGGTCAATGTCTAGTGCAGCTGATGGGTCCCGCTGTTAAATGTTTTTCCCTGATTCCCTCTAGTTCTGTGTTGTCTTCCTGGTTCCCCTCCGGTGTACATATATATACCATACATTATACTTCACATCTTAAACATTTCTTTAGACTTAGAAAAACATAGACAAAGATCTTATAAACCAGCAAAATGGAGTTTCTTGGAACATTCGATAAGACGAATTTGAAGTTTCAGTCTGCTTGAGTGGAAGTATAAACTCAATGTCTTTTATTTTGGAATTTTGTGAAAAAAGATGATTTTCATTGGATTCCTTTGCCACATCTTTCACTATGTATTTGTGCTACTGATAGAACTACCTTTTTGGCACATATCAGGACCAGCTAAAATCAGAGATACACATTACTATCTCAAAGAAATCTGGTTGCTGAGTAAGCCAGAAAGGAATCTTTTTAGAAAGTAAGAGGAAAGGTTTGTTCTTAAATTGTCCTGGTGTGGAAGCCTTTTACTATTTACTTCAATGTAGAAAGGGTTTCTGAAAACAGGATGTATTTTTATTGCTGAGAAATCATCTTTAGGATAATATATGAATTACATGTTAAACATTTAAGAATTCTATATTAATATTTATCACTGTATGAGTGGCATATCATTTAAAGAAGGCTTGATGCCACAATTGATAGTATTTTAATTTGTTTTTTTTCAATCCATTGTAGAATGAACAGTAAATATATGATCTCTAGCTATAATCTTTTCGTCCACCAGGGGGTGCTGCAGGATCAGTGCTTCTACAAGCATTATATTGTAAGTATTTAAGCCCATTTAATTCATTCAGGCTCACCCTCCAAGAGTTTACTATCTAATGAGCAGGAAAGATAAACAAGTAAGATTTGGCAAGGGTATGGCTAACTAACTTCCTGAGTGAACTGTGACCACGTGAACAGTTCCCTTACTAATTTTCTTGAGAATAGAGATATACAGATACTAGTGTCTTCCTTCTTTCTCCCCCAACTCTGAACTCCTCTTTCTTTGGTACCTTAATCTGCCATCATCAATAGCTACACTTTACTCAGTGAAAAGGTTCACTTTCTCAAGAGTTGCAGTGTACTTGGAAAGGTTAATACTTAGGAAAAAGACTGATCTTTATATTTGTTACCAATTTCATGAAAGCAGATGACTTGATTTGGGAGTGGCTTTTTTACATATGAATAGCAATAAAACATTCTTGCATTTTTATATCTAATTTAAAATACTCTACCTCTTTTTTTTTTTTTTTGGTGGGTCATGGGGCTTGAGGTTAGTGATAAGAGTCTCACAGACTTTCCTGCCTAGGCTGGCTTTGAACTATGATCCTCAGATCTTAGTCTCCTGAATAGCTAGGAGGCCACCAGCACCTGGCTAATACTTTATCTCTCTATCTTTATGGGTACACATATGTTTGTCAGTTTACATACCTTTATTTTATGAACTATGGGGAAAGTAACAAAACAGTTAAGATTAAGGACTACTCGGGTAGTTTCTGAACAATCCTCATAAGATAATATTAAGAATAAGAAGACATAAGCAGGTGCTTCACACTACTCAGGAGGCTGAGGTTTGAGGTTCAAAGCCAGGCCAGGCAGAAAAGTCCCTGAGAATCATATCTCCAGTTAGCCACCAGAAAACTGGTGGAATTGTGGTTGGTAAGAGCACTATCCTTGAACACAAGAGCTCAAGGACAGAGCCCAGGCCCTGAGTTCAAGCCCCATGACCAACTAACTAAAATAAATAATAAAAAGACATAAAACATGTTCTTAGGAGCTGGCAATGGCTCTAGTGGTAGAATGTCTGCCTTGCAAGCATGTATTCTTGAGTTCAAACCCTGGTAGTGCCAAAACAAAAACATGGTCTTATAAGTTACATGTGGGTCTAATCCAAGTGTGAAGACTTGTTTGGGTCATGTACTTAATGTGCTAATAAATACATGTTAAAAAAAATATCACCACTTACCTGGTGAGTTGCCTATAGTTTATACCTGTAATCTTAGCTACTCAGAAGGCTGAGATCTGAAGATTGTGGTTCGAAGCTAGCCTAGGCAGATTAAATCCAAGAGATGTTTTTCTCCCTAATTAACCAACAAAAAGCCAGAAGTAGAGATAAGATTCAAATGGTATAGTGCTACCTGTGAGCAAATGCTAATTGAAATGTACAGGCATTGAGTACTGTGTCTGTCTCTTTCTCTCTCTGTCTCTCTGTCTCTCTCTCTCTCTCTCACACACACACACACACATATACCCCACTTGAATCATCTACAAAGGGCAGAGTTGATTCAAGTGTTTTTCCAGGAGCTGGGAAAGGCCAGTCTTGAGTGGGAAATGAATATGAGCTTTGAGGCAGTCTAACCACCCAGCTATTAACATTCCCCAAAATGTAGTACAGTAATACATTAGTTGTAGATTTCTCTTGACTGCAATTTCACCTTGGAGTTGTGGAATGTACAGCTTGCTTAGTGCTAGAGACTTTGAATTGGGTGCCTCATTCTGTTTTCTGGGAAGGCAACATGAATTCTGCTGCAGATATTTAACGGCTTTAAAAGGATATGGGAAAGGGGAATACAAGTTCTTTGGATTTGTTAAGGAGTGTCCTCTGGTTCCGGGCGCAAGGTATGACATACATTTCTTGCTAATTCTTTTAAGAAGCAAGAGATTGCCTGTTCTTTTGAGAGAAAACCCCTTCAATAAACCTTCCCATTTTGAACAATAGTGTGACTCTGTTGCTTTGAACTGTTGTCTTCAATATTTTTTTAAATTAACTGTACCCAAGTTCTTATAATAGATATTGTAGGACCTACAAAAACAACAGAATCCTTACTTATTAGTCAGTCTACATTGGTGCTGATCTGTATGCTACAAAAGATACAACAGTGAACAATATGGACCAAAATCCTTTCCCCTGTACCTTTAATCTTAGAAAATGACAGATGACACATGCATGCACTTCCATGTTTGTAATAATGCTGTAAGAGAAGCTGTATAGTGCAAAGGAGCAGGAATACCAGGGAAAAGGAATGAGGTAAGAGTGGGTTTGAAAGATTGTGTCTCTCAGATGGTTATTTGGAATACTGGAAATGTACACCCTGAGTACTTGCCTGGGACAAAGAAGGGCCTTCCATGCATTGGCAAAGTCAGTGAATGCCTTAGGTGAACATGTGCTGGGGTATTAGAAGACTAGCAAAGAGATCCGTGTGGCCAGACCAGAGTGAGCACGGGAGAATAGTTGTACATGACAGAAGTCCAAAAGTTGACCCAGGGAGACATTTCCTTCATCATCTGTTCAGGGAAGTCCATAGGAAGGATTTCAGCAAAAGGTAGAACATGATCTCTGCACAAGGGTGTATCATCACTTTGAGTTACCTAGATAGGGGCAGACCTGGAAGCAGAATCATTACAAGCCTGAATGGGAAATGATGGGAGTGGTGGGGTGTTGATATGCCAGGTACATTTTGACAAGAATGTGATATAAATTGGTCATAGTTGACTCCAACACAGTTGACTTCAAGGTATGATAGAAAGACTATGAAAATTATGATAGGAAGTTGGAGAGTGGAATACAAGTCAGGAGTTCATCCTTCAGCATACTAATTGTGAGACATGTCCAATTATGGAGAACTGCAGTGGGAAATTCAGGGGGAAAAGGTCTGAATAGGAGATTTACATTAACACTTTAAAGCAGGAAGTGAGGCTGGACAAGGGACTTATGTGTAAAGAAGAGTGTTGGAAGATGAAGGGAGTTCGGAAAGGGAAACATGGAATTTACTGGACCCCGATGGAATGCCAGTGGAATGATGGCATGTCAGGATCAGGTCTAGAAAAGGAAGAAAGATTAGACATCAGTTGTCAATTGCCTGTTAAGATGCATGAAAGATGTGTGTGCTAATGGGGATGATCAGTTGGGATGGAGATCTGAGTAAAGTCAGTGAGTAGAATCTTGAAGAACCCAGGAGCTGTCAGGAGCATGAGGGAAGACAGTCTACAGACACGGGAAGTGACGTAAGACTAATGAAGTCCTGTGAAGTTTTCAGCAAAATGTGTGAAGCTGGGCACTGGTGGCTCACTTCTGTTATCCTAGCTATCCAGGATGCTAAGACCCTAAGGACCTCAGTTCCAAGTCAGCCTGGGCAGGGGAAAAAAAATTGACCAGCAAAAAACAGGGCTGGAGGCATAGCTCAAGTGGTAGAGCACAAGCTTTGAACAAAAAAGCCAAGAAAGAGTATAAGGCCCTGAGTTCAAGCCTCAGTACCAGCATAAAAAGAAAAAAAAAGTGTGTGATTCAAAGGGACAGATGCTTTCTTTCTGTTCCAGAAGGTTTGAAATGCTTTTTGGTCCAGTTTTTAAGGAGC